TACCAAAACTAAGGATATTGCCCACAGAGGAAGGGACAGATGCAAAGGCTTTGAGTCAGGAAATGACTTTCCCCAAGTTATCAACCTTCATTCTAGGTAGAGACTCTGGGTCAACAAAGTCAAAGAGATAGAGAAGGGTCTGAACTCAGAGTCTTGTAAAACTTGGTGACAAAACCTGAGAAGAAGCCATGAGCATAGAGTTTCAGGAAACATGTCCCTCATTTATATGTCTGCAAAAGGTTCCAGTGGTCCCTGCGTGGAGAACTGGGATGAAAAGCCAGAGGATGAAGACATGCTTAGCAGGACTGATAACTGAAATATGGTAATAAAGCAGAGTGAATAACAAAAGGATCCAAAGGAGGGGATTTTGATGTACTTTACAAACTTCTTTCAGCTTTGCATGTGTTTAAAGTTGTTCATAAAATGTTGGAGGGAAAAAAATTATAAAATCAGGCTAAGTTTCAAAGAGTTTGCTAACAAGTTAGGTATGTGCTATGAGAACAAAAATGACTCTTTTCTTTCTTTTTTTATTTTTTGATCATGAAAAGAAATTGTGAATAATGAAGCCATTTACTGAGAAACAACTATAAAAATAGGCTCTATCTTGTGTTTGAGTTTGATTTATTATCATTAGTTATTAAAAAAGATGTCAATAGTCAGAGGGCCATGTCACATACAACTACAGGTACTGGAGGTACTTCTGTGTATAGAAGAACTACGCTGAGTCCTCAATGATCTCAAATTCCTCTATGCAATAATGAGGGTAGTTTGAAAAGCATCAGCATAAATATGGATCAGAATAAAGATCATAAAGCCTGGCTGAAATGGAGCAGCGAGCACTAAAGACTGAAGCTCTGGGGTCTCGAACACTATGTTGAATTATAGGTAGGTATCTGCAGCATATTGGTTCACATTAGAGATGATATTATATCTCTATCTTGGTACAACCCCTTGCTAAAACACTGAAAGTTATTCTTAAGCCTTTCTGCCTGAAAGATTACAGTCATCCAATTATCCTTCATTCAGTATCTTTTTAAGAAAAAAAATGTCCTGTGAATGTATTGATGGAGGATAGCAGGCGAACACCTGTAAAAACTGTAAGAGACATGAAGATTCTGTTCTTTAAAAAATAAATCCATAAACTAGTACTCTGCAGGTTTCCATTTTTCTTAACTAAGATATAGAGACTTCTTTTTGTCTAGGCTTGAAATATATAGGACCCTTACAAAGCAAGTTTATATAAGATTATATGGTATGGTTAAAGAAAAGTGAGGAAGTGTAAACCAAAGTTAGATGTACCTAAAGTAAGTCATTGTTCCTACATTACCTATAGATGCTGATTTGATCAAGTACTATTGAAGAAACACTATCACCAAGTTTCCTTACTTTTCAAATGCTTCTTTAATTCCTTTACAAAATCCAAAGTAGAAGGAAGAAGAGAAGGATAGGAAGGGAAGGGAAGAGGAGAAGTGGAAGGGAAGAACGTAAAGAGGAGGATGAATAAGAGAAGGAAAGGAGAAGGAAAATAAACATGACACACCTTTTTTCAAACAATATTCAGAAATCAAATTACACATGGAAGTTAAAGTTACCTCCTGTATATTTCAAAGGCTTCATAAATATGTCTTCCTAAATTTGTATCTGTATTCACACATACACACACACACACACACACACACGCACGCACGCATGCACACACACACGCACACACACAGAAGCACCTTTCCTCACTGTATACATATACACATTTATGGAAGTGTTACCTAGCCACAATTTTGCTGTCAAAGATGCTATTTTCACAGGCTGCTCAGGAATGAAATGACCAAAACTGTTCTTTTTTTGCATAACCATGACTTTTGCTTTGAGTTTTTTTTGTTTAATGTTCTAAGTAATCCTTTTGGTTTATGGTCCACGTGTTGCATAGCATCAAAGGTTATTCAAACAAAGCCAATTCAAATGTGATATTACTGAATAGCTGCAAGAACAAATTTCAGGTTACTTTTATGCAATTTAAGTTCTGAAATGGGCTACATATGGCTACAATAATGAACCCATTACTGAAAGAAGCACTTCAGCAAAATGTATAAACCTATATGAGATTATGCATCTGCACTGTGCACACACATTATCTTTATCTCCCCAAATACCACATTTGTCATTTTCATGTAAGAATACATAAAGAGTAAAGAAGAAAGAACCATTATCTTTGTAAAGCACCTTTTCACGAGTACTATAAAATTATTGGATTAATACATGGGCTGGAATAGAAATTTAAAAGTCTTGCAATGGTTCACATTATATCCTTATAAATGATTTTAAATGATTGAAAAACTATTATTCTTTTAAAGCCAAATCTTTCAAAATATGGTAAAATTCATTGTATGGTCTATATTATCACATAATTATTCATATGATTAATTGAACTTTATTAATTAAAAATACCTTCACATTCCAAATATTTTCCTCAAAGTTTGTGTTAGTTCTTAACTAACTTAATATTTATTCTTTATGGCTTACTTTAGGGAAAAGATTCTGAAAAATCATAAATAATATTAGCACATGCCTTCTATGAGGAGGCAAAACTCTAACATTTTTTCATACACTGTAAAAATGCACATATAAATAACCCACTGAACAAATTTCAGTGCAAATCTGTGTTCATTTGTCACTGAATAAAATTAATTTCTGTGTCTAGCACAGGAATCGTCAGTATATCTTGGAAATGGTACAAGCTTCCCTAAATTTGAAATTCATGTGGAAAATAAGCCACGCCTCTAAGAAGGACAATAAGTAAATAAATGTCACAGAATCCAGGCAAAGCACAAAGCATAGAGATGCTGTATTCTCAACCCCTCATTGGATATGTGAACACTGGGTCCCAAGCCTTGAAACCACCTAGATGGCAGTGTTGTTCACATCCCAAATTTTCAACAATCTCCATGGAAGAGCTGTCATCATTCTGAAGTATCCAAAGACAATCCAATGTCAAATGTATGGTTTATATGTGAATTCAGTAAGGGTGCCTGGTGTCTACAATTACATTTGATTCTGACCCAGCAGATGCTAAATACAAACTAGTTTATACATATGAAATTTAACATTAATTCTTCAGTCTTAACTCCTCTACCTGTGGATGTTTTTTTCATTTTATTAGTATGAATTCTCCTGCATAATTATGATCCAGACACAAAATATCCCTCCTTATTTTATAATGGAAAATCAGAACAAAGGTTCTAGTCATGTCTTTAAAGGAGGAGGGTGTGCATGGAGGGAGGGAGAATGGAGGATAGAAATGATGTTTTGCTTTTACTGTTCTAGCAAGCTGGTTAATTGCATTTGTTTCATATATCTCCAAACACCCTACTACATTAATTACATTCTGTACCTCCAAGCTCCTCTGATTCCCTCAGTCACTTCCACTGAGCAATTTAATTGTATTCCTCCTCCATTCATACTGATTTTTTTAATGGTGATAATTCTAAAGCCTAATATAAAGTGTATATAAGAATTTCTCCTGTGGGGCAATGTAAAAATCATACTTGATGCTATAGGAAAGTCTTATGAAAATCAAACGTATTTGGAATATATGAACCTTTTTTTTTACAAGGATAGGTAAATAGTTTAGAAAGAGAATGTGTATTTATAAGTATGATTACAGAAATTGCAGCAATATCATTCACCATGATCAAGCACCAAGCATCTACTACTTTGGAAGGAAAGAGAAGCAGTGTGCACATCACTGGGGGGCAAAGAGATTCTTGCAGTCCATGATTGAAAACAGTCACTTAACAGTAGGTAAACTCATCTGTATTGTCTCATGTTTATAGAAAGGATTCCTTTTGAGTCCAATACATCAGGTTCTGTGCAGCACCTGCCAGAACCAAAGTTAGCTCCTACAGATGGGCAAAAATAGGCAGTATTCCAAATAATGAATTCATTCACAGTGTAAATGTCAAAGAAAAGTTTACGGAGCAAAACAAATTAGGATGTCTCAAGTACTCGAACTAATACACCTCATATTCTTTGCAAGTACAGTAATTTACAAATGAAAGTATTGTCAACCACATTTCCTGGGAGAGAAGTGGGGGCTTGGTCTTCTTTGCATAAGGACACTTCGCACTGATTTAAAAAAAAAAAAAAAAAAGTCCCTAAAAGACTAAATTTTTTTAACCTTCAAAGAACAAAACATATGTTAATGATTTTTGCCACTTCTCATTCAAACACCTACCAAAAGGATTTTGTAATAGTCTCACAAGAAACTGACACTCAGTGAAAATATCCCAGGAAACCAATTTTGAACAAAAGACAGGAGAACCAGAGGCAGAACGCTGTCTGCTTCACAGAGTGGTTCAGCCTAGAGGGAGACACCTAGAGCACCTGTTCAAGGTCCCCATTGTGTTTGTCCACTGGGGACCAAACTGAGTGTCCCCAGCTCTTAGTGGATGCTGTCTCCTCCCTGGAACCTCGCCCAGTCTCACTTGTGACAGTTTTCCCTCTGTACTCTAAATTCTTCATTCTGATTTCCTGCTGGGATAGCATTCACTGACACACAGGTGACACACTTTGATCCTTGAGATACTCAGTCTCAAATCCCCACACGCTGAACCTGCCTTGAAGTATCAGTTACTGTAATTTTTCAATTGGATGCCTTTGCTAAAGTTTAGGCACCAGAACAAACACCAAATAGACTGGCCAGAATCATGTTAAGCTCTTTCAAGAGACTTACTTTAATAGTTATTTTTCTAAGAACCTGAGAATCCATCCACTTATTCTGGAACTCAATTAATTAATTACAATGACAACAATAGGTGACTACTAACATCTTCCACCAGCAGCAAGCAGTTTAGAAACAAAAGACCTCAAACCTCTGCCCCCGAAGAGCTTGTGCCTGGTCAAAACGCACTACCAATCATAGTGTCATTTTATTTAGAAGTCACAACAACCTCTGAAAGAAATGGGGGGGGGGCGGAGGAAAAAAGATAAAAACATTTTTAACTTACCGTCAATCCGAACGTAGAGAAATCCACAGAGCAATAGTTGTGTAAACATTAGCAGACTCATTTTGACATATTAAAAAGGATCCAGATTGTTTAAGAAATCAATCCCAGAGAGCAAAAGTACAAAAATAAGTATAAAAAAAAAGAGGTAGGTCCGAAGTTTAGACTTTCCTAGAGATGAATTAAAGTCAAGAGGAGCAAAACGGCAAGATCGGAAGGAGTCGGTGGAGAGGTCTGACACGGGACACGTCAGGAGCCACCCCAATGAAGCCAGACTACTTCCAGAGTCTCTGTATTTCCACGCTGGCTTCCTAAATTCCCACAAATGCAGCCCAGCCGGAAGGATTATTCACGTGCGTTTAGCCCTCTCTCCTTAGGCTCCATTGCAATCCAAAGACAAGCTCTCTCTTCCAAAGTCAAGAAGCTGAAGGGGGAGGAAAAGGACCTAATTCCTAGAAAGTGTTCCACAAACTTGCCAGCGCGCAGCCGAACAACCATTGGCCTGCCTACCAGGTTTTCTTTTTCCCCTGGTCTCCTCAGTACCAGCAACACGTCCCGGAGTTTTGTTTTGTTTTGTTTTGCTTTCACTTAACTTCCATCTTAAGGATGTGTCAAAGCAACTCTTTGCGAGCGGGCCCTCTCCTCGGCAGCCTGGTCTTCTCCCTCCTCTTCTCTGGTTTCAAGCGAGAGGAAAAGGGAAAGCAGGACTGTTCGGGTGGAGAACGGGAACTCCTACTCGGTGAGGCGGCGGGGAGGGAGGCGAGGAGCGAGGGGGAGAGGGAAGGAGGGAGGGGCAGGGCTGAGGCCGCGGCCACCCTGGCGGGGCGGCCCGGGAGCGAAAGAACCCAGTGGCTTAGGACCAGCGTGCCTTCCGTCTGGAAGCCCTGGACCTGGGAGCCAGGAGGATGCTAACGCGTGGTCCAGCCTCCAGTCCCTCCGATGAAGCCGCCGCTCTGGCAGCCGGGGTTGTGCAGCGTCCGCCTCCTCCTACAGCTGCGGCGGGCTGGAAGGACTTGAGGAGAGAAAGAGAGGAGGCGGGAGCCAAGGGGAGGAATGAGAACTGCAGCGATCGGCCCGGGGAGGGGGTGGGGAATGAGAGGGGTGCGCCAAGCTCTCCACCTCCACACCCCGCCACCTGCCAGTGCACCGGGCGACAGCACCCCCGGAGGTCTGCGGAGGAGGGGTAATCTGGCAAGTGGTGAATCTTAGGGGGTCGGAAATGAAGCAATGTGGAGCCCCGCCGGCTAGCAAGTACTACGATTAGCGATCAACTCTTTCCTATTCCCGGAGCCTGGGGCGTCCCCCTGCCTCCCGCCTCGGGAGGGTGGAGGTGGGCTTCTAGCCTCCTGCTCCTCGCCGCGGCCCGTTTAATGGGCAGGTAATTTTCTCGGTGAGTGATTTCATGGAAGCCCTTCCTAATTATTCATCGCTCCGTCTGCTGGAGCTGCTCGCGCTTTTCTGGAAAAAGATGATCCTCCAAGACCCAGGGCGCAGCCTCATCACCTCCCCCACCTCCCCCTCAAATCACACACACACACACACACACACACACACACACACACACACACACACACACACACACACTTGCCCTTTTAGCAAAATGAGAAGCTCGGAGCCGGGAGGAAAGTAGAGAAAACGAAACATAACCACGTTTCTGTGTGGATGTGTTTTGTGTGTGTGCTCCTATGTGGTTGTAAGGGAATCGGGGAAAAGTGTGTGTGTGTGTGTGTGTGTGTGTGTGTGTGTGTGTGTGTGCGCGCGAGCGCGCGCGGCAGGCGGAGTGGGGGTGCACCTCTAAATTCTATCGGCTTGATTTAGCCAAGATCTATGGATAGCTACAAAATCCCCCAAGGAGGAGAGAGGGGAAAGGTTGGCATCCAGCTAATGTCTGTCGGTTGCCTTCTGACCTCTCTACGATGAGTGTGATGCAGGACCTTAGGATAAAGGAGTTCTGCAAGAGACTCCAGTAATGGCGGTCCAGGATCAAAGGGTTTGGAGGAACTGGATACCTGGAGCCTCGCCCTCTCAAACACCTCGGAAAAGAAATTTGGAAATCAGACTCTGATTTAAGCAATGCTGATAACTCAACAGGACAAACACGCTCAAAAGAGCCGAATTTCAGCCCAAACAGGACATAACTGCTAAATCCAAGGCAAAAACTACCAAGTTCCCGCAGTTCAGGACTGAAGCTGGTTAGGGAAGGCCACGTTGAACCAAATGCAACTGCCTGCGGTGCTCTGGCGTGACCGATATGGCAGGGCCCACGTGTGATCACAGGCTCGCTGGTGTTTGATGCTTGTTCAGGTGATTAGAAGAGGGTTTACAGAACTCTCACAAGGTCTCTGAGCCTCGCTAGATTCCGGATGGTGAGTCTTTAGTTCCCCCTACTGGAAAATATTAGGAAAGAAATTCGTTTGAGAACATTGATGAAGAGCCTTTTGTTTGTTGGATAGATTTTGGTGCTGCCACTAAATTTAGTTCTCCTTTGCTTAGAGACGGTGTGAAATTGTGTATTTAAAAAAAATGTCCAGTGACATTCAGGTAAGACATTCAGGTGGTCTTCTGGCACCCTTCCTGGCAGGCTTGCAGATGACGGTAATAAAGCAATCTTCTCATGAAGCATCAAGAATCCTTTTGGCAGTTTTGATGTACACTATTTAACTGTAAAGGGAGGGGGGAAGCACTTTAGTGTACTGAAGTTAAATCACTTGAATTCTCACAGTAATGACTCTGAATTAGCACCATATGGAAAAAAGAATAAGCCATTAAGAGAAAACAAGTTCACTTGATTCACTTCAAGATCCACGAAGGACTGAGTCTAAATTAGATAGCACTGTGACCCAGAAAAATCCAAGCACGTTTTGAATTGACATCTCTGTTACCTCTCTGTGATAACCGGAAAGCAGTTAATTCTATAAAACTTTCATTTTAAATATTTGGACTATGCTTAAAGTCCAGACTTGCAAAATGTACCCCCTCCTCTTAGCCAGATTTTTTATTGCATGTGGATGCAAATAATAATAATAATAATAATAATAATAATCCTGCAAACATCACCTCCTTAATGAAATTGTGCTGTACTTATCAAATAAACTAAGACCTTTATTTAAAAAAAAAAAAAGATCTGGGAAAGAAAACATTGAAACATTCCACCAGGAAGTTTGCCCCTGGCTCGCCAGTAGATCAAGCAAAAGATAGAATGTAGTCTTTAGTGGAAAGAGAGGCTGAGCAACCACAACTTCCTTTCCTTAAGTAACCTGTAAAAACACCTGAGTCCAAGTGTGGGGTCAGGGAAACTAGGAAGGATGGGTTGTAAGACATTAACCCAAAAATAATTTTCTTGCTCTACAATGGAGATGTCACTTCTGATCTCACAAAAATGCACCCATATATGAAGAACATCATTAAGATACTTCGGAGAAGAATTTTATTTAGAGGAAATCTCTGGTTCTACATCATGGGCAGTGTATGCCAAGCATCAGCATTTTGCATTCACAGCTACCAGCTAAATATCATGAAGGGAGTGAGTGATTTCACAAGGTGCTATCTTCCATGTGATACCTTATAATATGAGATGAGGTCTGTAACAAAGGAAAGTTGGAATCCATGTTTCCTGCTTTTCTTGAAGACAAATTTGGAAATGATTTTTAAAAGAATGCTTTATCAAAAACCCATTTGGTGTGAAATAAGGTAAAAGAAAATATGATCTTAGAATCCTGTAGTAAAAGAAATTTTAGCATAATGACCAAATCTTGCCTGCTAAATAAATAATAGTAAGGAGTCCTCAGTCAGAAATTCAATATAAAAAGTAGTAAGCCCAAAAGGAGCAAAACCACCACCTTCTGCGAGATTTCACAGGATCTATACTGGAATAATGTGCATATTTCAATAAAATTTGACATGCTTTTAGTGCACACTGATTATATTTTATTTTTGAAATATTTTATTTTTACTTTATGTGTATGAGTGTTTTATCTGCATGACTGTAAGTGTACCTATGTCATGCAAGGCTCATGGAGGTCAGAAAGGTCTTCAGAGTCCCTGAAACTGGAGTTATGGATGGTGCTTAGCTATCATGTGGGTGCTGGGAACCGACCCTGGGTCCTCTGTCAGAACAGCTAGTATTCTAAGTCACTATGCCATCTCTCCAGCCCCAAGATTATGTTTTAAAAATGGATTATTCACTCCAGGTTTTCCTTTTCATTTTTTTATATTTTTTATTTATTATTTTTATTTTGCGTGTATGAATGTATTGCCTGCATGTATGTGGGTGCGCCCATGTCATGCAATGCCACAGAGGTCAGAAGAGGGCTTCAGATTCCCCTGGAACTGGAGTTTAGGATGGTTCATAGCCACCATGTGAGTGCTGGGAATCAAACCCAGGTCCTCTGCAAGAGCAGTCAGTGTTCTTAATGACTGAACCATCTCTCCATCCAAACTGGATTATTCACTTTAGGTTTTTCTTCTTAATTAAAGAAGAATCTTTAAAACCTGAACCTTCTAGTAAATATTGGAAATTCAGTTTTAGCAATGTTGAACAAAAGAAAAACATTTCATTTTTTCATTGAGAGAGAAAGACAAAACTTTCTTTAAAAAAAAAAAAAGCTTCCTGTCACCAATTTAGAGGGTTTATGATACAAAACACAAATGTGGATTTGACTTCAATCTTTACTCAACTATGAATTGAGTTCTCCTCTTCTAAATAAGTGACTAAATAGAGAATGGTTATGGAAATTTGACTTCTTTTATGTAAAACTTGGAATAGTATTATTATATAATCAATGCACGCCTGCTAAATAAATATAGATATGTTGATACATCTTAAGAACCCTGTGTGGAGGAGACTATAATTAACTTTAATTTGATCAAGGTGATCAAATTACTGCCTTTTTGCTTGAACTTCTGAGTTGGCCTTTCCTGGAGAACATAAAATAACCATATGAAGGAAGACTGTACAAAACAAGATACAAATATTGAATCTATTTCAAACTGAATTCCTCATAGGAAATGGAATAAACTGGGTAACACAATACAGTTTTTGCACTTTCCAACATGCTCTGATCCCAAGCAGAATCTATAGAAATATCATGGTTTTGATCCACCTAGTAATTTTAATATATTAGTCCATGTGGCAAATATCTATGTTTCAGAAAACGTTTTAGTTTTGCAAAAACATTTATTATGTTGTTAAGTTTCTATGTGATATTTATGCAATTATTATTCCATTGATCTTCCAAGAAACTTGAAGATCAGATATTTAACACAACTTAATTTTAAAAATATTCTTTTAAATCCAGATGTAAGTATAAAATCAATGTGGGAGTTTAAGATATACATCATGAGATGAATTTAAGACCTCTTTCACTCTGTAGAAACACCAAAACTCTTTCCAAAATTATTTTGATTGATCAATTTAAGAGAATCCTTGATTCATTGAGATACTTAGAAATATGTGAGCCTTTGTTTTGTTTTTCAAAATCAAAGAACCATTTTTAAAGCCAAATGATCACCCTGTTAAAGCTGTTAAACCGGAGTTTTTCTTTGTAAAATTATCTTAACATACAATGCCCCCAAATCACATTTAAATGAAATGTATAGGTCATTACTTTTAAAAAGATACAGGACAATTTAAGTAACGTGTTAAAGCCCCTTACAAGAGAAATCTTCCCACATTATTTTATCACTTTCTACCTTGCTCCAAAAAAGTTTTGAGGGAGACAAGAATAAGAAAATATTTTTCTGAAATAAATTGGAAGTTTATGATTTAAATTCATTTAAAAATATTGAATGATACTAATATATAATAAGCCCATATTATTTATATGAATGAATGGTATTTTGGAATTTTGCATGTAGCTATTGAAAAACTTCATTAGTAACCTGAGATATAAGTCGATTGAAATATACCAATATTTCATTTAGAAATATCGTTTTGCTAAGTGTTTTCAAGAATGAAGAATTCTCTTACATGAG